TCTGCAGCCCCCAACAGCAAGCACTTTTGCCTTTACTTCATCTTTCTTTGTTTGCTGTCTCCCTCAATATCCTTTCTCCTCCATCCATTAGTTCAGTCAATATTTTTCATTTAGTCTGTTGCTTCCTCTTCTGGCCACTTTGCGCTCTTAATAGAGAGACCTAATATGGAATTTTGTGATGCTCGACTGTACCATCTAGGTGGCTGGTAGTTCATTCCCTTTAAACAAGTCCCTGTCATGTAGTTCTGTATGTTTTTCAGTTTATGAATAGGTTAAGAAGTATGAACGTGATGTTACCTTTTGTCAAGAAAGTATTTTCTTGTGTCAACGTATGTGTGTCAAATCAGTTCTCTGTTTTTTCTTTTGTTTTCTTTCTTTATTTCCTTCCCACCCACCCACCCACCCACCCTGCCCTGAAGGTGAAGAGAGTAATGAAAGGGGAACCACTATTAGCTGTGACTCTTAACTAGTACTGTTTATATTGTGGAAAATAGGAAGGTGGAAGTCCTCTAGGATGGGAGCGAGACAAACTGTTGACTTCAAGCTCGCAGACTTCAGTAGACACAGGGAATCAGTAGGCAAGGTCTTGTCTAGATTTGAAGAGCAAAATAAACAACATTAAGAAGAGAAATCCAAGGAAAACTCTTTTTATTCAAGTTGCATATAATTTTGAAGCTCTCCCTTTCAAATGTTTAGAAAAACAGCACTAAAGTATTCTGTTAAACAACTTTCATTGCTGCCACAAAGCCTTGGAAATAGTTTCACTGTGGACCAGCAGAGGGAACACAGATGTCGTTTCTTGCAGGTTTCGTAAAAATAATATAAAAAAAAAAAATTTTAGAAGTATTAATGAAAAGCATATATTTAAATGCTGATGTTTTAGGGGCTGGTGTTATACTGTTGTCCGTTGTATAACACTTCAAGGTGATCGCATCTTGGACTTTGATTCAGTATATTTGATCCTTCTTCTCTCTCACCACTTCCTTTAAATTTTTTCCCATTGCTGCTTTTGTTTTGTTTTTGTTTTTCCTGCTGCATGTGTTGGCTTGAATATATTGTTGGGCAGGAGACATTATAATAGGCTTTTCAAAGTGGACTTCTTTTCATCGATAGCTTTTTCTGTCTGATGAATAGCATTACTGCAGTGTCACACAGGCGTTTGGTTTTTGTTTCAAGTTGTACGTTCTGAAATCTCCTTGCTGTAGTTACCCTGAATTGCTGGAAGAGCTTTGTTTCAGTAAAAATCTATTATTGCAATATCCTCCCTGATAATTTGTAGGAGTAAGACATAATGCACTGTGTGATTAAAGAGTTATCCACATGGTAGTAGTTAATTTTAGTAAATTAACATATGGTAAATGCCGCTATAAGAAAAAAAAAGGAGTAATAACTCTAAACATGACTAAACATTGTGAGCAGTTTATTCTATGGCACTGATACATGAGGAAGAGGTGAAAGAGTTCAAGAGAGAGCAATTTGACTATTGAGATTCTGTTATTGGAAGCAAAAGACAGAAAAAAACTCTTTTTTTTTGAGTAAATTAAATGATCAACCATGATAGCCCAGTCTGGGGTAATGCACGGCGTGGACCTTTTAAAAAGCATTGCAGAATTTTAATGTGCGTGCCAGTGAAGCAATTACTCCCATCTCCAGATTGGACTATCTGATTTAGTGTGTCACATTTTTTAAATGAACATGATACGCCAAATGAAATAATGGGCACAAATTGCGCTTGCATCCTGAGTTTATTTGTCACTTAATAAATTATTTCTTTGGCTAGCTTTCAATTACCAGGAAAATGGAAGAAGCAGATGTCTTGGGCATCAAATATCCCAGCATTAAGCATTTCATTTGTCTTGCTGTTCAGTAGCTGCATGGAGGCGTAGAAATAGTTTGAAATTTTACGCTGGGAGAAGCTGAGTAGAAGACAAGAGTCATTTAACTTGTCATTAAATGTGGTGGAACAGACTGATGTGACCCGTGAGACAATTTAAACTATTCCCTTCCAATCAAAAGGTAGAAATGACCTGTCAGACCAATTTGACTGTGATTGATTATTAATAGTGTCAAAGTTGGGAAGGCAATTCTGTTCTCTCTGTGGCTCCTGGTGGTTGTTGTTGTGTTTTTTTGTTGTTTTTTTTTTTTTTTTTTCTGTTCTTACAAGTGCCCCTCAACTCTGGTAAAAAAAAAAGATTGAAAATAAATTCTTCCAAGAGTTTGTGAATTGATTGCAACCTGAAAGTTGTTTGCAGTGACTGGTCCTAGGGCCAGACTCTGGCTTTTTCTGTGCAGGACGGGCACGGAACAGCAAGGATGGCTCCAGTTGTGCTTACAACCTCTGTGCCCCCAGGCTGGGAGCACCCCCAGTCCCCGGGCTGGGAGCACCTCGGCTTTGCTCCGCGTTAGTGCAGATGAGGGGCTATTCCAGCTGGGACCAGGTACCTGTAGGCAGGAGAGTTAATGAGAACAGAGGTCGGCTTCAAGCATCCATCTTTTATTTTTTTTTAGCTAGTCCCCTGCACCAGGAGCTGGGGAGGTGGTGGAAAGGCTGCTCTGCCACGATAAGGTTGATTTATACCTGCCTGGCACTGCCAGAGGGAGCCAAAGAATCCAACTTGTTTGTTCTTTTCCAAACATTATTCTTATGATAAGTGTAGTGCAGATGATAAAGAATCCTTCCCAGCTCATTCGGGAGGTGAGTTTGATCCTGTTGTTGGATAAATCCAAATAATCTTGAGTTGTCAGGGGTAGGGAAGTTGCTGTGCTCCCTGAATCGCTGATGTGGGACGCAGTGCTTCCATTTTCCAGTCCGGAGGTGCTCACTCTTCATCTGTTGTGAAATGATTTCTGTGCACTGTTTGTAAAGTCCTTTGATATCCTCTGTAGATGAAAGGTGTTATATAAATGCAAATTTCATTCCTTTCATTTCAGTTTCATTTAATAAATAAAGAAATTGTTCAAGTTTTAGTGGGAATGGTGCTCTGAGACCTAATACTGCATCTGTATTCTGGATATACCTGTGGAGAGAGGTTAAGGCCACTGATTGTCTTCCAGAGCCTAACAGAATTAATTTTCACTTGTACAAAACCAGATTTTGCAGGCTGAATAATAATGAAATAAGTGAAGAATCCACTGGCTCTGTTAAATTTGGTACCTCATCCCTGTGAATAAGGAAACAGAGAAAGGATGCATTGCTCAATTAGCATTTTAAATTAATTTTTCAAGGCTATTTACTGAGGAAACTGAAATTTTAATTAAAGTAGCAAATAAAGTAATTCACTCAAAAGCTTTATGAGATTCTTTTTTTCTGTCACATTGAAAAAAAACTAATTCCAGCGCTTAAGAAATATTTTAAAGCAAGAAAAATTACATTTGGAGTAAAGAACAAGTAGTTTCTGCAAAATACTGTGGTTCTTTCAGTGAGTAAGTGGTACTGAAGTCATTGGGTGATGTGGGTGGTAGATATTTCATACAAGTGTGGCCTAAAAATGCTGTGGTCAGAAACATAGCGTATTTATTTGAAAAAGATGTAACCTAATAATAGAAGAGATTCCCGTGAACGTGTTCCATATGGTATTTAATTAATGGCATCGGTGTGAATTGCAGATAAAATTTTTTTTTGGATTGATAAAGGAGAACAAATGTAGAAAATGAGAGTACCTTTTTTACACAAAACAAATTATTTATTATTATACAAATGTTTGATTTTTAACAGTAATTTTTTTGCTTTGGATTGTTGATACTGCTAATTCATGGGCATTTATTCTTACTGCTGGTAAGTGTTTTTTTTTTTTTTTAAAAAACCACTTTACTACTATTAGAAACTGTTCCTATCAGTGATTGGCAGCGCTGTTTCAGAGCTCTTCAGACTGCTTGAAAAAAGGCTGATCTTTTTGATAATAGAAAACAAACTATACAGTTTTCAAGTTTATGGTGAAATCTTGTGTGAATGGGAAAAGCAGCTATTAAGTTGCTGGAATACTTAATATTGTTGAAATAATTGCCTTAGTCCTTAAAAGTTGAAATATATACATTCAACAAATGATTAATTAAATTGTAAGCTTTTCTTTTACATACAGGCTGTTAGTACCAGAAAGGAATTAATACTGTAAAAATTAACTATATTATTCATTTTTATATATTCAGTTATATGTATTTTGTCACTTAAATATCTTGCTTTGAATATGCATTTTCAATTTATTGCAGCTTGGACACTGGTGTAAATCGGCTTGCTCGGCCAGTGCTTTGCACTTACAACTTACTATTAATTTACAATGATATAACTACATATATTCCCTGAAATAAAGTACGAGGGAGCAGAAACAGTTTGTGCTTGTGGGAGACTGGGAGCACATGGAGATGCCACGCGGTTGGGGGCGAAGGGCCACCGGATTTGGGTTGCCAAGCTGCACGGGGAAGCACAAATACAGGGCATGGGACTCAGCATTAAATGATGAACTTTTTAAGATTAGGAGTTGATTTAGTGACTGTCAGTAGTGACAATTCCTCCGTGACCTCCAGTGCTTTTTTCCCTTGATGGTTACTTATCACCCCTTAAACTGGGAGGGGGGAAACCCACCGTGTTGTTGGAGTTTGTTTACTTCCCAGCTGTAGCACTTGCTGTTGCTGTGCCTTCGTGTGCCGGAATTAAGTGCTGCTTAATGAAATTTTATTCCCTGTAATAGTATTTTAAATTACAAATGAGTCATGCCTTAATTGTGGTTGATAACAAGCTCAGAGGTTCTCGGTGCAGATCATGCCTCTCAGTCATTTGGGTTTTGTTTCTAGAAGCCTTTCACGGTTTGTCAACATCTTGAACTTTATGTCTCGAACTGATCAAAACATTCTTAGTTTTGTAACCAAAACATAGAGCGTGTTTTCTTTTGACAGTCAGAAGTCTGTTCTTGAATGGTTTGTGCTTAATGCGAGCGTTGAGAAAGGTAAGGAATGAATGGGCATTGCCAGTTTGCTTCAAAACTTGTCTCCTCTCTCTTTTCCAGTTTCCTTTTGGCAGACGCTTGCCGTGCGATATCTATTGGCATGGGGTATCGTTCCATGATAATGATATATTCTCAGGTCAAGTCAACAAGTTTCCAGGTACCTTACTGCTGTTTCTAGTTTAAACAAATGCCTTAAAACTATGATTGTTTTTAAAACTGTTTTTGTGGATGCTGTTTTTTAATCTGAATAATCTGCCTAATCAGCTGGTAGTGTTCTTAGCTAATTATTATTGAGTTTGGTAGGTGATTTCTGCTTGGGAGGGTAAGAATATCAGAATGATGTCTCAAACCATTTCTGAACTGAAATTTGTTTTGGAGAGAAAGTCTTTTTGATGAAAAGAATACTTCATGTGTATGAATTTAGGAAAAATGAGAGTGTTAGGCTGTAATTTAAGTGAAGTGTGCAATTATTGTATGTTATCTAGCATTGATAACAGTGCTGTATCTTTGGATTTGGTTTTGATTCAAAGTGGAAAGAATCTGTTTTACTTCGTGCTCTGGCCTATCTCAGGGAGATGCTCAAAGCCGAGTTCCTCAAATGGATTTTTTTTAATATCGAAGAGTTTGTGTCAGCCCTCATCTTATGATGACTCTTCTACTTTTTTTAAGCTCCCTTTTTTCTTGTTTAATCCCTGTTGAGATCTCTCTAAATAAGAGCGAAGAGCTTAGGTATTGACTTAGATAAGCCCTTTACTTCAGATTTATTGCTGTGAGAATAAGAACCCTCAGATATCAAACTTTATGCTTTATTTACCCTGACTTTCTCCTGTCTGTGGGAAGTTCATGTTCAGGTATTGGATGGGGTGGTTTTCTGGTGGTTTAGATCTGTGTTAGATGAATATTACCTTCTCTGTGTTCTGGCTCCTACGTGGTAAGCAAGTGGCCTGCACAGTAGTCAAAACCAGAGTCCTTCAGAACTAGACATGATTTCCAGGATCGTTGTGCTAACTTGTTGCTGGGTTTTACTAAATTCTTTCTCTTGAAGAAGATATCTTGATGCTTTTCTTAGCTACTTGTGAGAGATTCAAAAAATCTGAAAAGATTTGTCCTCAGGAAGACATAGAAACTTTTGCATAAAAATAGCTTTTTAGCCATGTTCCTGATGGAAATAAGACTTCAGCAAATGCACTTTCTGTCTTTCTTGTACCTTTGGAACCTCCTGGACAAAATCAACCGCACTCGACAGAGGCTAGCAGTCACAGACTGCTGCCTTCCTGTAGGTTTTGTGGAAATTTGCTGACCATGTAGGACAGAAGCCCACAGATGATGTTGTCACTGAGAAAGAAGCTGCAGCATGAACCTTGTAAGATGTAATATCTGAAAGCATGAAACAACACAAGAGTAACCCTGAATGCCCCAACCTTGAGAGAAGCTTCTACTGGAGCTCTCACGGGTCTGGACTTGACACGATCCAAGCATGAAATTCAAAGCTGCAGGAAAGCAGCTAAATTTGGCTGCTCACAAAATCACCTGTTCTTTCTGACATAGTTACTTGTATGAATGCAAAGTAAACACGAAGCGGTTGATTATATTTAAATGACATTTTTACCTATTCCTGGAACAATGGCAGGCTGGGGCAATAAATCTGGGTTATGGCAAAGACAGTAGTTGCTGTTTGACTGAAGCTTTCCATCTGTTATTCCGAGCTATGTTTTTGATGATTTTTTTTTTCTAATATGATACAATAATGCATACAATATGAAATATGGCAGGGGAATGCTACAAATATTTTGTCAAATTTTAAATTATAAAATATTTTCAGCTTTTTTGAAAGCAATGACTAGAGTGCCTACCAATAGGATGAGTAATGATGTAACAATTTACTTCTAGGATGAGACTTTAGTGCGGATTCATCACTTTTAGACACTGTCTGTTATTTTCCCAGGCATGACGGAGATGGTACGTAAAATTACACTGAGTCGGGCAGTGCGAACAATGCAAGATCTGTTTCCTCTCGAATATAACTTCTATCCTCGATCCTGGATTCTGCCAGAAGAATTTCCCCTCTTCGTGGATGAGGTAGATTACTTTACTCTCAGAATAGTGTAACTTCTTGGATATTGTTGCCATGTCATTCTTTAGTTTTTCATACCCACCCAGATTATTTAAAATCACGCTTGGGTGCTGTGGATGACATCTTTTCCAATTTGCCTGAGATCAGGCATAGTCTGGATGAAATGCTTTTGTTATGTTCTAGAATAAACTTAAAAACAATTACACTTCTCTGCAAGGCCAGAAGAGATGCCTGAAAATTAAACATGGTAGAACCAGAAGCCCTTTCCCTGCGTATTCTGCCGAGTTTAGAAGGGCTGAGGAAGTTCCAGTGCAGAAGTGTGTGGAGTGTGGTGCTTCACCATGTTCATTGTGACTGAAGTCTTTTTCGTCCATCCTGCCTGTTCTATCCAAATCCTTCAAAAAACCATTTTTTTAACATATTGTTAAATATGCTTACATCTTCCTGAATAATTGTTTGTTGGAATCTCTTGTCAGACTATTGCTTTGTTTAAATATTCAGAATGTAATAAAATGCTGTTCTTTTTCAGCTTTTTTAGGAGGAAAAAAAAAAAGTGATTCGCTCTGTTGGTGTTTGGTTCTGTTATTACAAATATTTTTAAAAACACTGCATGTGCGTGTTTTAACCCTGACTGGCCCAGTGCATTCTTGGATTCTGCAGTATCATCTGCTGGGAAAAGTTAATAGACTTCTGTACTGCGTGTTACTTTTTAGATAATTACTGTATCCACAATCCAATTAAATCCATGAACATATTTCTTCAAGTGTGCTGGGTCGCTGCCATGACACTGCTAGTAACAGTAAAAAATGGATAAAATTGCAGTAGTACTTCAGCTTTATTGCTGTAGATCTAAGACCAATTTGTACAACGAGTGTAAATTACCCAATCGCTTTAGCTACGACAGGTAGATAAGTGCAAGTAACTTGGAAGTAAACTTTCGGGATGGTGTGCTGGGGCTGGAGCGGTGACTCCGCTGGGATGGTGCCTGTCTCGGTTACCAGGCTCTGGTTAACGGAGCAGCACGTACCGGGGTGGTCTGCACATCGGGTTACACGCACAGACCCGCACGCTGTCAGCAGGTGGCACTGCAAATAAATACTTTTCTCTGGTTGAACGGTTACTGGAGTGGAAACGATTCAGTTTTCGTTCCAAGAATAACAGATGTCCGGTAACACGCTGCTAGGAGTTTCGTTTGCATATGTTCTTCCATCTGTGTTTGAGAAAAGCATAGCTCTTGTTATCAAACATTATATTTTATATTGTAAGAGTTTATGTTCTCCTTAACACAAGTTTGTAATGCAAACCCTCCAAAACAAGAGAAAATACAAACCAAAAAGCTCCAAATCCGCGGTGAACCATAAAGGGTTCCGAACGCTTTTCACTTGCAGTTTCCTGAGTTCTCAGTAGGAGGTCTCCAGTCTTTTCTGTTATTTATTTGTTCACACGTGGTTTGCAACCAAGGGACCGTAATGCTGCAGCTCTCTGAGACTGAATTTCCACCTTATTCACAAACAGGTAGAATACAGCATGTGTGGTGCCTGTATGTTAGATATACCCCTATAGGAACTGGCATACACTTGAATATGTGAATAAATGTGTACATTTGTCTGAGCAAAAGAGGATTTAGCCATCTCTGGTGCTTCTGGAAGTAAAGCTGTATTGTCATGGGCTGCAGCTGCTGAGTATGTGGCTCTAGATGAATCGTGCTGAAACTCGTCTTGCTGTACCTTCACTGTTATTGGTGTTCAAGTCCTTTAGGACATAGTTAATGGCCAAAGGTTACAAATTCTGTGTCAGTGTAGGTGTAGGTCAGACATGAGAAGATGCTTTGGTGCCATTTGTAGTACAGGATTTTGTTGCAAAGGGCTGGACTGAGAAATTAACACCTAGGAGATTTTGCCTGTAATAGAAATTACTAAAAGAAGAAACTCCTTGAGAATTTCAATCTCTCTGCCTCCTCCTGAAGCACTACAACATTTCAAAACAATTTCTCTTTCAGATGTTCTTACTATGCCTCAGTTCTGTAGATATGACTGTGAACTTTTATCATACGTTTGTATAGATAACTAAATCAAATCCTGTCAGCTTTCCCCACTTTCCCCCATCCCTTAATCCAGGTAGAAAACACTGCAGCTAATCTAATATTAAGTAGCCAGTAATCAAAGGGAGAGCTACACTCTGAAGTTTGTTGGAGATGAGCTTCATGTTGGGGAATACCAACCAAATGGTAGTTCCCCTAGTGTCATTTGTGTTAGAGTGAAATGGTAATAGGTATTTTTAACAAGGGCTTAAAAGTTAATTTTACTAAGTAAATATATGTTTAGCTGTTTCCAATATTCACCTGTTTTTTGCCTTCTAAAACATTCTGTACTAGCATGTTACCATAACAGAAGATGAGTTATAGATAAGCAAATCTCTCAAGTGCTACCAGTCATCACCCCTTCACTAACAGCAAAGAATCTGTTGGAATCTGTGTGATAAGAACTTATTTCTATTAGGAAATTCCAGTTTCTGAAAAGTAACTAGCCTGAGATTCGAACCAGGGCCTTGATTGCTCTCATACTGCCGCCTTTGTGTTGTCTGTGAGGATGATGAATAGGCCTAGTATGATTAATTTTTAATAAGAATCTAATTTGGACAGTCTAATTTCTAGCACAGCATATTCTTGGTGGTTTAATCACGTTTTCAGCTTTTGGATACCTCTTAGGCATAGACATAAATATTCTAGTCTCTGTGCTGTCTAATGTTATAGCCCATTAGATGTATTTTTTTTCGGAACACTGTTTATTTATTTCCTCATGAAAGGCAAACCTGCAACTGGATCAGATTTTTAGACCATTAGACATCATACTCTCCTCTTGCTGTTGGCTGTAAATGGTCAACATGTTTTTAAAGATAATTTCCTCTGTCAAACTAAGTACACAGAAGTATCTCATTTCATATGAACTAATGACATGACTACATGACTCACTTGTCTAAGTCTAGACAAGCCTCCTTGTAATGAGAAATGGAAAGTGTATAGTTGAGGGGATTGTGGAGAATTTGAAGACGACTGTCAGGAATTTCCTTGAAGATCAAGAAACTATCTGCTTTCTTCAAGACAGTCAAGCTACTGAAAACCAGACTGACTCTGGATTACTGTTCCCCCTTTCCACACGGTCCTATCTTCATCTGCCATGTGGAAATTTTGATGGTACTGAAAATGATGGAGAAAATTATTTCCTTTCCAGCAAAATGGAAGAAGTTATGTGTGAGATCTATGAGACCAATGATTGCTAAAATGCAAGACTTCAAAAGCAGGTTGCTGTTGCATCTTTAACAATAGTCTCCAGAAACCTTTCTCTTTTGAAAAGGTGCTGCTGTAGCAGAGCAGAAGTAGCCTGAGGCACGAACGAGAGGCAGATTGCCCTGGCTGGTTTCATGGAGGTTCTTTATTACTTTCTGCCCTAGTAGACCGTGATTGGCACTTCATACGTGCATCTGGAGTCATAGTAGGGTACGTTTAGTCGTGGAGGTTTAAGTTTAACCAATTATCTTTCTGGGATGCTGACTTTAACAACGTGTGAACCAGAGAGACTCCTCTACTATGCAGAGTAATGTCATGTCAGGGGAAGATTATTCTTTAGCAGTAAAAAGACTCGGGCATAAATCCTGCTTTTCTTCTTTGCACATCTAGGCCTGCTGATCTACTTGGACCTATTTATCCACGTGCCATTTATGTAAGCCTGATCTCTGTTGTGGCATTTTATCCCTCAAAGTGACCTGTTTTGAAGCAGGATCTTTCATTGCGTTAGTGTGACACTTGTCCATGAGAAAAATCCTACTCTAAATAATTAATCTTGAATTTGTGCTGTAGTTAGTAGGAAAGCTCTTAGCAGTGTGACTCTCAATGAAATAGGTGACTGGATAGGATGGAGCCAGAAGTCCTTCAGGCCTTGGAACGTTGCTGCTAGTGGAGCTGTGCCTCCCGTCCGGGTCAGCAGCCTGATGTCACAGCAGAGGGTGTTTGAAAACCACGAGGATCCGACTGATGCTCAGCCTTTTCCCGAGTTCTAGTTTTTTCTCTTTCATTCTGCAGTGCCAGGGCTGATGGTGGCAATCGATTGTTTTTTTTGTCAGCTTGTGTCCTCAGGCATCTTAAAGTCAATCTGCAGTTGTTGCTGGTGCGCGGCCGGCCTGCGTGAAACCAGAGCACCAGCTTGGTTCAGCACGTTGCTGGTGGAACGGAGAGAACGGCAGCTGTGGGGCTGGTGCCGTAAAACGTGTGACTGCACAAAAAGAGTGGGACCTCCCTCCGTTTTGAAAAGAAGAGATTTTAAGTGCTTTATTCTTCTGAATCCCATGAGCAGCTGATAAAGGTGTTAGCCTGCGTTTTCTTTAGCTGTATGCTTTGTTAGGGCTCCCTGTGACTGTGCTGTTAGGAGTTTCATGAGCTACAGTCCTTCAGCATCCATTCATTGAAACCTGGATTTTATAGTTGCATTTTGAAAAATTACAATTTGTGCTCTAACGATTTCTTTCCTCCTAAATATTTGTGAATGCAGTGCTACTCTGTTTTCACCCGTAGGGGCTTTATCTACACGCAGAGAACAGCAACAGAGCTCGGGGAGCTGCAGAGGCTTCCTGGCTGGGGTCACCTTGCTTTACCATGAACTTACAGGGCTGCCCAAGTGGGTAATGCTGCAGTTCATTTTCCACTGATTGCTCAGTCCTTGACCTCCAAGCCAGGTGCTAATTAATAACACTTCCCTTGGGTTTTCGTTTTGTTCTGGGTGTGTGCCAGTTGGATCACTACATTCACACTCCTCTTGCCAAACAGCTCCTGATAGCAGCGAGCACCACTGGTGCCGACGGGGTTTGCAGAGGCGACAGACAGGTCTCCGTCAGCCCATACCTCAGGTATTTTTCCTCCTAAGCTATTGAAGGCTGACATGTGTTAGCTCATTGGCCTAAACATGCTCGTATTCTTTCCTTGCTACATGTTGTAAAACATGCCATATATTGTCAATAGTTTTTTAAATTCATCTAAGATAACTCCAAATCCCTCCTGACTTCCTTTCTCAATTTCACTTCTGCTATTTGAGACATCCCTGCAGTTCTTTCTTTTGCTATACAAGTAATAAATAAACTAAAATTTATTTAGGCAGTGGGAGATATGCATGTAACATGAAAGATCCGATATTCAGCAGATGTGTCAGGCCCTTACAGTGACCTAGTTACTGTCTTCATGATTTTTTTTTCCCTCAAATAAAATGCATTGAAGCTTGCAAAGTTTAGGTTTGCTTCTTGGGAATGTGAGCTTTGTAGGGTGTAATTGCTCTTTTCTCTGATATAAAAAGATTCCCTAATTATATTGATTTATTTTTTTTTTTTTGGGAGAGAGAGTTTTGAGTGAATATATGCTGTTTACAACAATGCAGATTTGAATCCAGTAGTTAGTAGTTATTGGTGCCATGTTTAATTCTGACTCACTGTACCCAAGTGGGAATGACATTAGCCTCCAAACATTCCCTGCTAAATGACTGTATCGGTTTAACATGTTGAAAGGCCAAAACAACCTTATTACAATAATCATGTTTTGGACTGCCAACTATTAGCAGTCTGTTCCAGGTGGGATTATCTGATTTTCTCACAGATAAGATAACTGATTCTTTAGGAAAGAAAAACAGCCATTTCTCTTTTTTGTTTTGTTTTTCAATTTTTATTTGTACTTCTTTATGCAGCCAAAACCTCCAAAGATATATATTGTTGCTTCCAAGAAGCTAGTTTCTATAGAAAGGTGTTGTCTGTTATAGTGCCAAGCCCTGTTTATGCCCCAGAAATCAAGCTGCTGATGTCAGTGTGTAGAAATGACAGTGGGATTGAAGAAAAAGTTCAGATTCAATTGCCTTTTGAATTTGAGACGTTTGGATCTAGATCTGAGTTTTAGAACTTTTTTTTTCTTCTCACTTGCTGTGTGAGGATGCAGACACCTCTCTGTAATCCTGTAATTCTCTATAATTCAGTTTTGTGCTTCATCTTACTAAGACCACATCTGAGATTCTGTAGGACAGGTTCTGACAAACCACGGGTGCTACTGTT